CTCCAGCATGTCTCCAACACTGACCCCACTGCCCTTAAAGTCTTTAGCAGTTGGCCAGCCACCATTCTCAGCCTCAAAACGTTACTGCCGTGAATTTGGCTACAAGATACTTCATCATTATATTTTGAGATCAGGGACCATGTCACAGTCATTTTTATATCCTCAGAACGCAGCAGGCTCACCAGGTGCTGGGATGGGTGCTCAGACGCATGAATGAGTGACTGCTCCTCCCTCCACCCCATCTCCATCCAGGGACTCTGAAAGGCTCTCTCTGTTCCTTGCCTTCTCCCTGACTTCTTGTGACACTGGGAACACTCACCTTTAGACCTGCCAAAAAGGCTGTTAACTCTCCACAGCCCTGCCTGAAATTCCCCCAGGAAGCCCTCCCAAGGCTAGTGAATCTGTAACGTCTCTGATCACAATAGGCAAGATCCTCCTGCTGGCCTCTCTCATCCACACTGAGGTTTGCTCATCCTATCTTGGGCAGGAATGGAGCCTGGCCACGAAGGTATGCAGGCTGGGCCTGGGGCTTGGGCTCTCCCTGGGGGGAGGGGGGGAGAGGATGCTGAGCAGTGATTGGGACAAGTTCAAGACATGCTCATGGACTGCTCTGTCCAGAGCCCCTACCGGCAGCTCCTCTCCCCACCTCTTTGGCTGCCCCTTTCCTGCCCTTTCTCAGTATTCTCTACTTTGAGAAATCTCTGGCTGACATGATTTATCTAGATCTTCAGGTGTGATGCATAGCACCCTCCAGCTGAGACTGAGAGCTCCTCCTGGTCAATCACTTGTGTTCTTACAGGACCTTGCACAGCGCTTACAGAAAGTGCCCCCCCAAATGCTTGGTGACTGAATGAGGCTCAGTCCAATTTGCCTGGAATAGAGCTGAGGCTTAAATATCTGTGGAGAAAGAGGGATGAATTTCAGGCCAAATGGATACCTGAGCAAAGCGGGAGTTGGGTTCTCTTTAATGCAATGGTTAATGCTGTCTAGGAAGGACAGGAGAACCCAGAGTCGGCGTCTAGAATGAGTCTCCTCCCTGAGGATGCTGCTCCTGCAGAAAGCCTGGGCTCGGGGGGGGTCAGGAATCCTGGGTGTTGTTGGCTGCAGGCAGGACAGGGAGGTTTCCTAGGGAGGTGGAGGGAATTAGCTGTGGCCCAAGTCCTTGAAACTCTGTTAGTTCTCCTGCTTGGTAAAGCAGGCTCCTCAGCTTCCCGCCTCCATCCACCCCTAAAGGGAAAACTCACATATAGAAAGGAAAGGCCAAGGAGGAATATGCTCAAACGCCATAGGGCTAGGTGGAGGACACAGTCTGGCACCTAGAGGGAGTGGCGGGTACCAGTTGGAAAACAAAAATTTCTCCTACTTTGCAACACAAGGCTGGATGATTAGCACACAGGAAAAACCATGAGCCAGCAGTTTGCAACAAAGCTGGCAGGCGGCCGGAATGTTGATCTGGAGGATCATGTTCCAGAGGGGAGACACCACTCCCCAGACCAGGCTGGCGCTCAGTGCGGCTATTTCAGGCTGGGAGGGATTAAGGTCGAACCATGACGAATGTGTGCGGGTACGCGCACACACGCACACAACACACACAACACACACACACACACACACACACACGACACGCCTTTTTCTCTCTCTTCTCCCATGCTGGCTCCTGTGCCCTTAACCTGACACACACACACACACACACACACACACACGACACGCCTTTTTCTCTCTCTTCTCCCATGCCGGCTCCTGTGCCCTTAACCTGAGACTCACCTCCTGCACTGAAAGTCTCTGGTCGCCATTCCTTGGCAGCCCTGGGTCTCCTTCCTGGGAGAGCCCACGCAGGCCCCCGCCCCTACCTCAGCGAGACAGAGACGGGAGCCTGACCTGGGAATGTGGATGGGGACAGCACATGGCACGTCCTATGCACCTCCTCCTCCTCCATGTGCCCCAGACGGTGCACTGAACCCACGTCCATCATCCTGACACTGCTGTCATCTCACCGTCCCTGCCATGTTGCTTCCCTCTCTTTCTGCCTCCATCTTTCTCGGTGTCACCTCCCCTTCCTCTCTTTCTCTTCGTCGCTCTTTTCCTCTGCATCTACAGCCTGTCGCTACTTCCCTCCTGTATATTGGCCCCTTTATCTTTTTTCCCACTTTTCCTTTCCTCCTTGAACTTCCTCTTGTCTGTCTGTCTCTCTCTTTCTCATTGCATTACTTCTTTCAGCAAAATTTAACTGGCCATCTATTATACACAGGACCTTATAGTAGCCACCACTGGGATCAGAAGGGAAAAAGTACAATAAGACGGAAAAAATGAGTCTATTTCAAGAATATATTTGCAAGCAGAAGCCTGGGCAGCTGTTTTTAGATCTGTAATAAAGTGATTTGGTGATTTCAGATATGTAAAATACTGTCTCTACTCAAAAAATGCTTATCTAGGAGAAGAATACAAAATTTACACAGTGTCTATAATATAGAGGCACAGGTGATATCTGCCATACCAAAGGCTCAGTGTGCTCCAGTCGTTAGTGGAGGGGAGGAAAAGTCCATTCTGCTTGGGGATCAGGGCGGCCTCCGTGGGAGAGCAGACTTGTTGCTGCCCTTGGGGAAGGGGCTGGGTTTGGTTCTGCAGAGAGGGGTGGGGGAGGCGTCCCTGGAACAGACAGGCATGGAGGAACATTTGCAGCACCTTGAGCAGCCTGATTGGCCCAGGAAGGGAGACTGAGGCCAGGCGTAGGAGGCCTTGAATGTCAGGTGAAGGGCTGTGAAAGCTCTGGGGGGCAATCAGGGCTTTGGGGCAGGAGAATGACATGAACAGGGCTCTAGGAAGATGGATCCAGCAGCAGCAGCCTAAGGGGCGCGTGGGTGTGTGGGCAGCTGAGGAGCACCAGGGAGCACGGGGAGCAGGCAGGGACAGTCCTCCAGCAGCCTACGTGTAATTACTTATTTACCCACTGAGGCCTGGACCCAGTAGGTAGTGGCAGTCAGAACAAATGAAGGGGTAAGTTTGAGGAATACCTCACCAAGCGTCTTTTCCTCTTTCTGGGTGTCTTTGTTTTTGTCCAATTGTCTGAGATCCTTTTGGCCAGGGATCAGAGGCCTTTCTGCAGTAGCTACCACAGGGCCAGCTTCACCCTCAGGCAGAGATCTGATGTGCGTAGTGACAAGAATCAAAGTTCTTCCCTCTCTCCTCAAAGCTCAGAGGCACTGACAGCTGGGATTCCCCAGGAGGACTGAGTTTTACGGGCGGCATCTCTGAGATCTTGATCACCTGGAGCCCATGTTATCCTTCTCTGTAAACCCCACACCTCCAGTGACCCTGCTTCCTGCAGCCTAGCTTGTCAGCCTCAGACCCCCAACCCTGAGGGGGACGTGGTGGTTGCTAAGCCCTCTGCCCCTCCTTTCTTCCCCCACTTCCCCGGTACAGCCCCAACTCCAGAGCTCGAAGTAGAGTTGGGGGGCCCAGGAGGCAAAATTCAGTGCCTCTCCAAGGACCTGATTATTTCCAAAGACTTGTGCTAATTTTCTGATATGATCCTCACATCTCTGCGAGGCACTAAATCCTCATTACTTTTCCTGACCGATGCATTCTAATTAGATCAACACTTAAAAAAAATTCACAATAGCCACAGGATGGCTTTCCATCTCATTAACTCTTCACTTATTATTTTCATGAAAATTACTGATAAAAATGTGCATCTCCATTTGGTGAGGCCTCCCAGCCTCCTCAGCTCCTATCTCGCATCTCTCCCTTCACCAGGGCTGTGCAGCGTCGCCATGGTAACCCACAATAATAGAAACTAATAAATTACAAACGAGATGCTCGTTGAGCAATTATTGTCCTCTTTTATGCAAGTTTCTTGCTAATTTTGATCATAAGGGAAAGTACAATAAGACTCTGAAGGAATGAGTCTATTTCAAGAGAATATTAGCAAGCAGAAGCCTGGGTGGCTGTTTTTAGATCTGTAATAAAGTGATTTGGTGATTTCACGCAACAGGAAGAGGAAAGACACTTCTTGCCCCGTGTCCTGTGCTGTACTCACTATCAAGTCCCACAAAGATCCCATGGGGTGGGTTTGGTGTGATACTGGGTACATCCTCTGTGCTTGTCAGAATGTGCAAAGCATGGCGGGCCTTCTAGAGGTCAGCCTGTCCCTTCCCCTGCCGCTACCAACCTGGAAAGGCAGAGTGCATGTGTTGGTCCTTAAAGGCCCAGGGAGAAAAACAACATAGCCTTTCCTAGGCACTCTTTCCAGCATCTCTTGCTTGATTGTCTAAGGAGAAGAGGCCACTGGAAGCTTCCTGGGGGACCCTGCATGTGTCTGTCTGTCCTGGACTGAAGAACTCAGTGGGGAGGAGCAAAGTGGTGAGCTTGTGCCCTGTGCAGATGCTAATAAGTTTGGTGGAGGGGTATTGCCAGGCAGCTTTCTGAGTTTGTAGGTTTGTGGAAAACTTCCTGCCCTCGAGAGAAGAGCCCCTTCTTGCCCAGTGTGCACAGTCACCGCTGCTGCATTTCCCAGTTCCCAGGATGAAGGTGGCAGGTGAATCTTGGAAGGGGGTGGCTTGAGGGGACATTTACAGTGGCCCTGAACCTTAGGGGTACAGAAGCGTCAGGGTAGGGTGAGCGACTAGAGAATGATCAGGGAGAGGCAGTCCCCTGGAGGCTGTCTTTATCTGTTAGGTGGGCAGGGTTCAGGGAATGACCACTTCCCCCAACTCTTCTTTCTCAGGAGCACAGAGAGCTCAGTAAGCCACAGCCCTCTTAAAAAGGCTATGGGGCTGGGATGCCTGGGTCCACTCCCATCTCATCCTCCAGGAAAGCTTTCCATCTCCTTAACTCTTGTGCTTATTTCTTGGGATAGTGGGGGCCAGGAAGCCAAGAATTACTCTGAACTTGGGGGGATCCAATGAGTCTTTTTACTTAAGTCACCAGGGGACCTTCAGAATGTCCTGTGCACCTGGCTTAGGAGCATGGCTTAATAGATTGGACCCAGCCCTATGCGTTACCTGTGAGTGAAGGTTTATGGAGGGCTGGTTGGGGGAGTAGGGACCCCCGAGATCATTCCTGAGCAGGTTATCGCTGTGCATCTTGGTTTTGAGGCAGGTGATGTAACGGTTACAAAAGTCCTTGCAAAGTTCGTTGACTTTCTCCAGCTCCAGCAGGTGGATTCTCAGGACCTGGATTGCTTTCACCATCTGGGGAGAGGGAGTAGAGGTAAGCCCGGGTGTTCTTATCCACATTGCCCTCAGTCGCCTGGACTTCCGCCCCAAACACACCAGGGGAGAGGAGCCCACCCCCTACCCTAGGTACATGCTTTCTCATCCACATGATTTAAATTCTAGTTGTGGCTCTCTGCTGATTGTTCCCTGCCTCAAGCCCTCTGTTATCTCAGCTGTTCTTGAGGCAGTCATATTCTGAGAACAGAAATGGCCTTAGAGATAGAAGGCCAGGTCCAAGCCCCAGGCCTGCCATTTATCATCTGTGTGAGCTTGGGCAAGTTGCTTAAGCTCTCTGCACCTTAGTGTCTAACAAATGGGCATAATTATACCCTCCCTAACAACTTTACAGGTTTGCTGAGAGGACCATGTGAGGGATGCACATGACAGTACTCAGTCAGGTGTGAAGTGCGGAACAAGCATGAGGAAGACTGAGATCAGGGTTTCTTGTGAGTGCCCATGAGGTCAGGGACTGTCTATTCTTAAACACATATTCCGACTGCTTCATGTGATACGGGTTGCCTTGTGGACACTCCATTGATACTTGCTGACGGACTGAATAATCCAGCATGACTTAGCTGGGCACTAGATGCCTAACCGTCTGTTGTGACCTTTTCTGTGCCCTTTGGATCGCTGTACATGTGCCTGTTGCCTCCTCAAATGGACATTCTTAACCTCTTCACGGCAAGAAGCTATTTTGCAATTGAAGCTTTGCTCTTTATTTTTGTTGTTATCATAAGAAGAAAATACTAAGGAAAACAGAGGGTGAAAAAAAAAACCTGTCTTCGATCCAATCACCCTAAATGAAGGATGACTTTTTCCCACATGCATATATTTTAACATATTTCAATAATCTTGTGCATATAATTTTGTTCCGTTTTTCCCCTTAGTTCAGCAAATTTATTTTTCTAAGAGCCAAATGTTTTCTCTCTTCTCTCTCCTAGACCGTGATCTTGGAGAAGGCAGGGATGATGTCTGATTTTCTTACCATGTTATCATCAGCACTGACATATATGGATCTGAGTAAATATTTGTTGGATGAGTGAAAGTTATTGAGTAAATATATTTTTAATTGCTGCATATTATTTCTTGTGTGTTCCATCCTTAAGCAGTCCCCTAATGTTGGACATTTAGATTACTTCCAAATTTTCAATTTTATAAGAAATGTTACAGTGAATATTTTCTAAGCTTATAGCTTTTTTCTTTTTTCTTATGTTTCTGCATTATTGCCTGAGGGTGAATTTTCAGAAGTGACAGGGAAAAAGCTATGGACATTCTTATGGTTCATAAATACGGAAAATATTTTTTTCAACAGGGGGTTGTTCAGATGGTGCTGGAACAAGTGGACATCTGTAAGCAAAAAAGTGAACCTTGATTTAAACCTCACACCTTATACAAAATTAACTCAAAATGGATCAAAGGGCTAAATGTAAGACACAAAACTATCACACTCTGAGAGAAAAGAAACAGGATAAAATCTTCAGGATCTAGGGTCAGGCAAAAAGGTCTTAGACTTGACACCAAAAGCATAATCCAGAAAAGGAAAATAAATCAGACCTCATCAAAATTAAAAAATGTTTGCTCTTTAAAGGACCCTGTGAAGAAGATGAAAGACTACAGACTAGGAGAGAATATTTGCAAACCACATATCCGAGCAAAGGACTTTTATCTAGGATATATAAAGAACCCTTAAAACTAAGCAGTAAAATAACAAGAAACCCAATTAGAACATGGGAAAAAGACATGATCAGACATTTCACTGGAGAGGATGTGCAGTTGGCAAATAAACACATGAAAAGACTGGTTCAATGTCATTGTTCATTAGGGAAACACAAATTAAAACCACAACGAGATATCACTACATACCTATGAGTAGGGTTCGAATAAAAAATAGTGACAACAGTGAATGCTGGTGAGGAACGAGAAACTAGATTACTTAAACGTTGCTGGTGGGAATGTAAAATTGAAAACGGCTACTCTGGGAAACAGTATGACAGTTTCTTACAAAATTAAATATGTGCTTACCATATGACCCAGCAATTGCACTCTTGGGCATCTAACCCAGAGAAATAAAAATGTATGTTCACACAAAAACATGTACACAAACGTTTAAGCTAGCAATATCTGGAAACACCCCAAATATACTTCAACAGGTGAATAAAGAAACTGTGATATGTCTATATCATGGAATACAACTCAGCAATAAAAAGTAATGAACTACTGATACACTCAACAACTTAAATGGATCTCAAGGGAATTATGCTGAGACAGAAAAGCCAATCTCAAAGGGTAATATAGATGCCACTTATATCACATTCTTGAAATGACAAAATTACAAAGATGGAGAACAGATTAATAGTTGACAGGGGTGGATTAGAGGAGGGAGAGAGGAACTATTTTCTGTATCTTGACTGTTTACACGAATCCAAACATGTAATAAAATTGCATAGAACTAAACACACATGCACACAAGTGCATGTAAAAACTGGTGAAATCTTAATAAGGTTGGTGGATTGTTCCTGGCTGTGAAATTGTGCTACGATTATTCAAGAGGAGAATCAGGATCTCTCTGTATTAGTGTTCACAACTGCATGTTAATCTACAATTATATCAAAATAAAAAGGAAAAAAAATGTATATGGGGGTGCTTATCACCTTTCCATATCCATTTATGTCGACACAGCAATATGTGGGAGTCTCTATTCAATCCCACCCTTCCAGCTTTTGGCTAACATTTTGATACCTAGGGAAGAGTTAGAACAGTATAAAAGGGGATGGAAACAAGGAAGGAAATCTCTCCGGAGAATTTTGACTGTGAGGTGTGTGTAGAATGGTGTGGCTGGAAGCCAGGATCACCCACTTCTCTGAGCCTCACTGGCATTTCAAGTGGGGAGCCCACATTTCCTGGGTTGGGCTTGTAGATTGCCTGATGGGCAGGGTTTATGCTCAACCAACTAAGGATGTTGGGCTACTAAATTAGACTAAGTGTCACTCAGAGACAGAAACCAACAATCATGTCTTCATGCAGGGCTCTGCCGTGGGCTCTCTTCCTTGGTGGGGTCACCTCCATGGCTGAGACTGACAGACACGGAGTGGTCCCAGGCAACGAGAAGAATGGTGACTTTAGCATGGATCATCTGGACCAGAAAGTGGAGTTGGGTACTTGGTAAATTTAGGCTCGTGTTTAAATTTTCTACCTGACTTTGGCTATGAAGGTTTTGTGTCTTTCCGAGTAATTAGCACAGCGTAAGGGGCTTAATAGATACTTGTTGATGGATTGAAAACAACATCCACACATTTCTTATTCTCACTATCTCGGGCTCTGTGTTAGCCCATCACATGCCTTATCTTATTTATTCCACAAAACCACCTCTATAAGTAGGTACCCTTACTGCCCATATTTTACAGTTGAAGAAAATTAAGTACAGAGACACCATTTTACCTGCTTAAAGTCACACGGCTGGTGAGTGACATGGAGCCAGGTTGCCTTATCCTGAGCCTGTGCTGCTTCACTCTCAGGATTTATGTAGCTAAAGGGCAGTCTAAAGAGTGCATGCAAAATTTGGGGGGAAAGTGGTTAAGTGACAGGAAGTAAGTGGTGGTCCTAGGAAAACTAAGTAACTTTGGGGACATTAAAGTTCAGGATTTCCAGAACCCTCCCTGATAATGTGCCTTCATGGGCTGCTCTGATTTTTCCTTCTCTCACTCCTGGTCTAGCCCCCAGGAGTCAGAACACCTCACCAACATGGTGTCTGCTTTCTCATGTGTAAAAAAAGAGGGCTGGACTGTCAGGTTCCTCCCATTTTCTGGTTCTCTGACCATTACCAGAAAGCCTGCCCTCCATTCACTGAGGGTGCTGGAAGGGGTCCCGGAAGATGATCTGGGCAGCCACTAGGTGTGTGGATGGTCCAAACCCCCCAGGACACAAGGCTGTATCTTCTCCAATGCTCTCCTGGTCATCGGGGGATGAACTGATTGCCTCGGACCAACTCTAACATCTCTCAGTCTGCTGATCGTGAAGCTCTTCCTTACATTCGAGCAGAATCTCAGCTTTCTGTGGGCACCAGGAACATCTAGTACCTCCTTCTATCAACACAATTTTCCTTAATTTACTTTTATCCACCCAGCAAATATTGAGTCTTACTATATGCCACACATTGGACCAGACATCTGACTTGAATAAGTTCTTCAATAAGCTTTCTCTTCTCTAGACAAAAATAACCCTAATTTCTTAAACTTTCCTTATCTTTCCCTTTCTCCCCTTTCCTTCCTTCCCTTTCTTTTTTCTTTTTCTTCTTTCTTTCTTTATCTCAGCTTTCACTTACCAGACTATTCTGCATTTTAAATCAACATTCTATTTACTCACTTATTTTAAAATCTTCTTGTGAAGTACATATATACACATACACATATACATATATATATATTCACACACACACACACACACACACACACACACAGAAAAGCATACCTATTTATTTATTCACTTATTTTAGATATATAGCCAATATATATTTATTATTTAAAAAATCAGAATGTAAAGGTATATACGACAAAATAAAAAGTAAAGTCTACCCAGAATAGCTTCGCTCTAATGAAATACTTGCAAAGCATGTTTTAGGCAGATCTGCTGCACAGTGGCCCAAAGTGGACCCATCCTTTGGTCTAATAAAACACAGCTGAAGGATTACGTTTTTATGGGCTAATAGAATTGGTTTAAAGATTTAAGAAGGTAGAGTAAATCAGAATGGTCTTCCAAGGCAATGAATATATGGGACCTAGACAGAATTAGAGAAAAACTGAGCGACACTGTCAAGGTGAGGAGGCTGCCTGACACGGCTGACAGCTGGGGGCTCACTCTCGGCCAGCCTGGAGTTGAGTCCAGGCCCACTCTTGGCTAACTGGGTGCCACTGGGCAAATCCCATGACTTCTCCGAGCCTCAGTCTCCTCATTTGTAAAATGGGGATAATGATCATTCC